GCCCTGGAGACGGGGGGCGGCGCCGCGCCGCCCGCCCCCCTTCGCGCTACCTGCGCCGCAGTCGGACAGCAATGACGGACTCTGCAAGTGATCGAGGCACCAGGGTACACGGCGTCCTACCTGGAACCACCGAGACAACGCAAGGGGGGACTGGAGAGCGGCGATCAAACGCCTCAAGAAGGAAAGAGGGCCCCGTGCTCACCGTCGGGTGGAACGCCATCTGCGACCGGGAGTCTAGGCCCCACTCCGCCAAAGACCCGTTGCGTCGCAGCAGCGATTTCTGCCAGGGTTTCGCGCATGACCTCAGCGAGGTCAACTACGAAATCCGCAGACTCTGTTGGGAGAAAGGCACGCGCGTCAATTGGGGCGCTGAGTGACATCGCGAACTTGACACGCGGAGACTCTGACCTCGCGAAAGGCAGAGGGAAGGGTGCTCCGCCGCGCGGGAAGGGGAAACGGCCGGCGGATTTATCGTGGCCTAGCTAGCAACGGCCTGCCCCGCCAGCGCGTGTCAGCTTCCAGCAGCCACCGCTGGCATCTTTCAGCAGCCGCCCCGCGACCTCGCCCTGCGCTAGCGCAGCACCCTCGCCCTGGCAGTGGCTGCTCTGGCCGCTGCCTCCCCCCCCCCTGCCCTCGCAGCTTCTCGCATCGCGCGCTTATTCGGTGCCCCCCCGCAGGCCCCCAGCCCTGGCTCGCGGCCTGCCCGCCGCCCTCGCCCCCCTGCCTTTGTGGTTGCCCCCCATCGCGCACTTGTTCGGCGCCCCCCCCGCAAGCCTCCTGCTGCTCGGGGCTCGCCTTCTTTTCGCGCCCGTGCGCGGGGCCCGCCCGCGCCCGAGCCGGCGCTCGGCCTTGCCTCGCCACTGCTGGCTGGTCTAGCCGCCCGCTCGTGACCTGCGGGCCGCCCCTCCTGCCCGCCTTGGGGCGCCCTGCTCCGCCGCCGCCCCCTTCCTCGTGGGGCGCTGGCCTAGGTTTTGTCTAGGCCCGGCCTGCGGGGCCCCTCTGGCCGCCCTCCCAGCGCCGGCTACCGGTGTCTGGCCGTTGTCGCTCCTTTGTCACTTCGCTCGCGTCGGTGCTACCCAGTTGACTCTCTGCCCCTGGGTTCATCCGCTCGCTTCCGTGGCTCGCCGCCCTCCACTGGGCGCGGCATCCCCGCCCGCCGCCAGCTGGCGCCCGGGTTCGGCTCTCTCCTTCCTTGTTCTGCCCGCCTGGGCCCGCCGCCCCCCCAGTTGGCGGTGCCCTTCCCCCCTTGCCCCGCGTGCCGCACCTCGCCCTGCTGGGCCGCCCCCCTTCCGCGTTTTCCCTGCGCTGCCTGGTTTCCGCGCCCCCCGCCGTTGCCGATGACGGAAAGAGCGCGTTCTTCCGCTGCTGGCGGAAAACGGTACCGAGGGGGGTCACTACCGGTTCGAACCCCTTCCCCCCCTCTCTGGAAAACCGAAAGGGGCCACTGCCGGTTCGAACCCCTCCCCCTCCAGCTCATCATGAAAAGGAGAGGGGGTCACTACGGGTTCGAACCCCCCCCTCTCGAAAACCAGGGGGGCCACTACCCGTTCGAACCCCCCCCCCGCCCTCGAAAACCGAGGGGGGGTGCAGAGTGGTGGGGACGGTGGTGGTGGGGACACTGGTGAGGGGACAGCAGGCCAGTGGTGGGGACAGTGGGACACTGGTGGGGACTGTCGTGGTGGGGACAGTGGTGAGGATAATGGTGGGAACAGTGGGGACAGTGGACAGTGGTGGGGACGGTGGTGGTGGGGACAGTGGTGTGGGGACAGTGGGAGGTGGAAACAGTGGGACAGTCGTGGGTACAGTGGTGGTGGGGACAGTTGTGAAGGCGGTGGCGAGGACGACGGTCCACGTGGGACAATGGGACAGAGGTACAGTGGGGACAGTGGTGGGGACAGTGGGGGCAGTGGTGGGAACAGTGGGACAGCTCAGTGGGACAGCGGAAGAGTCAGTGGGACAGTGGGGACAGTGGGGATAGTCGGGCAGTGGTTGGGGCCGTGGAGAAAGCGGGGAGAGTGGAGCCGTGGTGGGAACAGTGGTGGGGACAGTGGGGACAGTGCGACAGCGGTGGGAGCACTGGTGGGGACAGTAAGGACGGTGGCGGAACCAGCGGGGACAGTGGTGGTGAGGACAGTGGCGCTGGGAACAACAGTGGGGGATGTGGCGCGGACGGTGGTAGGGACCGGGAGTCGTTTGCAGTGCTGGCGGGAGTGGGGGGGTGGGGAGGGGCTTGAACCTGTAGTAACCCCCCTCCGGTTTTCGAGGGGGGGGGGGGGTCGAACCCGGTAGCTGACCCCCCCGGTTTTCGAGGGGGAGGGGGTGGGGGAGGGGGGGGAGGGGGGGGGGGGGTTTTTGCCGGGGGAGGGAGGGGGGGGGGGGGGGTCCAGCAGGGGGAGGAGGGATTTTCGGAGGGGGGGGAACCCCGGGCTCCGGAGGAAGAGGAGGGCAATTTTCCACAGTAGAGCGGCGGTGGATCACGCTCTCTCCGATGTCGGGGTCCCCCCGGCTCGGAGCGGGTCGAGGTCCTGGCCGCTCGTTTCGCCGTCTTCACGCCGCCCTTTCTCGGCCGCTCACGTTCCGCTCTTCCTGGGCAGTGCCTCCCCGGCCGTCGCCCCCGCTCCCGCGCCTCGCAGGCCCGCGGGTCTCGGCGTTTCGCTTCTCTCTGGGCCGTGCCTTGGTTCGCTGGGTTGGGCGCCGCCCCCCCGGGTGCTCCTCCCGCCCGGCCTCGAGCTGCTCGGCACCCGCTGCTGCCGCTTCGCGCCCTGTGCCGCCCAGCGCCCCCCTTGTGCCCGCGGCGCAGCGCCTGCTGCCGACGCTGGCCTTTTTGTTGGGCCTCCTTCCTCTCCTTGCGCGCACTTCGCAGGCCTGCCGGTCTCAGTGCTCTGGCCTCTCCAGGGAGCGTGCTCGGTCCAATGGGTTGGGCTCCGCATCGTTTTCTCTTCGCCGCCAGCTGCAGCTCCTGGCTGCCCCCCCCACAGCTACAGCTCAGCGCAGTTCAGTACAGCCTGTGCCGGCGCTGCTCCCTCCCCCCGGCGCTCCCCGTGCCGTTGCTGGCAGCTCTGAGCGGCCCCTTTCCTCCCCGTCGCGCCGGGGCTCCTCCTCCTCCTCCTCCTCCTCCTCCTCCTTCCGCGCATTGCGGCCCAATTTGCGTACATCGTGGCCATTGCGGCTTTTCCGCCGGAGCAGTCGACCTGTGCCCAACCGCCGACGCAAACCGTGTGTGTGTGTGGCTGTGTGTGTGTGTGTGCGTGCGTGCGTGCGTGCGTGCGTGCGTGCGTGCGTGCGTGCGTGCGTGCGTGCGTGCGTGCGTGCGTGCGTGCGTGCGTGCGTGCGTGCGTGCGTGCGTGCGTGCGTGCGTGCGTGCGTGCGTGCGTGCGTGCGTGCGTGCGTGCGTGCGTGCGTGCGTGCGTGCGTGCGTGCGTGCGTGCGTGCGTGCGTGCGTGCGTGCGTGCTGCGTGCGTGCGTGCGTGCGTGCGTGCGTGCGTGCGTGCGTGTGTGTGTGTGTGAGTGTGAGTGTGTGTGTGTGTGTGTGTGTGTGTGTGTGTGTGTGTGTGTGTGTGTGTGCGTGCGTCTCTGTGCTGGTGTGTTCCCGCCGTGCATGCGTTTTAATTTCCCAAACAGGGCTTGCACTCAGTGTTTTCTCTCAGTTGTCCAATGAACTGGGGTCGTTTGTCAGGTCCGCCGCCTTGTTTCCACCGCCGCCGCCCCGTCGCCGCCCCGTCGCCGCCTCGTCGCCGCCCGTCGTCTGGATTCGTTTGTCGGATCCGCCGCCTTGTTGCCGCCGTCGCCTCTCCGCCGCCGCTTCGTCGCCGCCCGTCGTCTGGGCTCGTGTGTCGGGTCCGCCGCCTTGTTGCCAGGGCCTTTCAGGAAAGCCTGAGGGGCCCCCCACTACTCTGTCAAGAGCTTCTCAGGATATTCTCAGGAGCTTCCCAGGAGCCTCTCATGAGCATATCAGGATCCTCTGAGGACCTTGTCTGAACCCCGGCAAAGCCCTGTCAGCTCCGCCATCCCATTGTCCAGCACGTCTCTAGAAATTGTTTCTCGTACAGTGTTTCACCTGGATAGGACATCGAAGGACTCATCATCGTTTTGTCATCCCACTGTCAATCATATCGATGCGTTCTTTGGGCCATCGTATGTTTTTTTGTCGCAGTCGTCCTTCCGCTTGGTTGTGCTCCTCATCGTGCCTTCTCCCCGTGCCTCTTCCTGCCTCCCCCTGGCCTTCCTTCCCCCTTCTGGGTCATCCTCCCGGGCGCTGCCCGTCGCGCGCGCGCGAACCGCTCCGCCAGGCTAGGGGAACCCCATCCCCCGCTGTGCGCGCGCGCGAGGCGCCGCGCGCCGCAACAGGAGACTTAGGGGGAGGATCCCTAGGGGGAGGGGTCCGCCACAAACATATTCACACAAACACTCCTTACTGGATTGCTCCTGGGCCTCATGGGAGAGTGGCAGCGCATCGATTCCCAATGAAGAGCCCGCCATGTTAAGCACTGCCGCCCTCCCCGCAGGCACACGAGAACCTACTGGTGGGCGTCGGCCCAAGCGAGCTCCGCGCGCCAGGGAAAGGTTGTGTGGAGGGGGGTCTGGCGCGCCCCGAGAAATCCCCGCTTACCCCCATCGAGCGATCCAACGGATGCGCGACTCGATTCGTAGACTCGTAGGTTCGATTCATGGATGCGTCCGCGCTGTCTGGGGCCGCGGCCGAGGAGCCCAGACCACGAGGCCTCGGATGCGGATATGTCTCCCGCCCACGACTTCGGAGGTTCCTGGAGGTGGTCCGGGTCCATGGTGGTCCGGGTCCAAGGCCCTGAGGCCCTCAGGGTCTCGAGTGGGGTGCCCTGGAGGTCCTCCAGGCCTTCGTGGAAATCCTGTGGGCCAAAGACACCGTGGGCGGCACCCGAGATCTGGGCGGGAGGAATCACGCGTGTGGGTGCCCATCTGTTGCTGCCTGTTCCCTCCGTTTCTGAGGCACGCATGGGCAAGTCTGATTCCTGTCGCCACCCTGGCTGAAGCATTCATCAGGCACTGCTGGTGCTGCTGCTGCTGCTGCTGCTGGTGCTGCTGCTGCTGCTGCTGCTGCTCTTTTCGCCGTCCACCGCCGCCTCTTGCCTCCCCATGGGCGGCAAGCGTGGCCGCGGCGGTGGTCATCCTCGCGAGCTGGCCGCAGCTGCGCTCCGCCGCCTGCCGTCTCCACCGGCGAGCCGCTCTGCGCTGCTGGCGGCGCTTCTGCTCGCCAGCTCCGCCCCGGCACGGTGCCGCGCCGCGGGGCCACGGCTGCACGCAGGCAGGCCCACGAATTGCACACGGCCTGCGCTGGCCGTGGGGCCGCTGATCAACAGCTCGGCGGAGCTGAACCGGGCGCTGAAGCGTCACAAGCGGCTGTTGGTCGGCTTCTCCGCGGCCTCGTGCACGACCTGCTGCACCCAGGAGCCCCTCTACGAGGAGGCGCTGCCGCTGCTGCCAAAGGGTGTGCACTGGGTGCGCGTGGACATGGACCGCCTGGAAGCCAAGGCTTTGGCCACGACTTACGAGATCGAGTCGCTGCCTGCCGTCGTCTTCCTGCGGCGTGAGCGTGGCGTGAAGGCTGTCCGGCTCGTGGAGGCGCAGCGACCGCAGGTGCTGGCGGCCTTCGTGTCGAAGGTGTTGGCTCCTGTGCAACTGATCTTCTCGGGGGGGCCTATGTCGGACGGTACCTTCCACGGTGCATGGCCAACGGCGGAGGACGACCTCTTCGGCGGGCTGCGGTCCCGCACGGCCAGGCACTTGGTTCGCGTCGCTGCGTTGTTCGATGGGGAGCCAGAGGAAGAAGACGCGGAGGAGCTCGCCGCTGCGGCGGAGGCCTTCGCTGGGCGGCCGCTGTCCTTCTCGTTCGCCCGCACTGCGGACCGGGGTGCGCGGCTCCATGTGTCGCAGCACCCGCTGGTGGCGGCAGCCTGTGGCTCGCTGGCCGCGAGTGGCCGGGCGCTGGTGGCGATGTCTTTGTTGGATGGTGAGTATGTGGACGGCGTGCGGCTGAAGCCGGGCGGCGACCTTGCAGGATTTCCTGTCGCCGCGCCAGCGTCTTCCTCCCGTGGACTGGTGCTCAATGTTTCTGCTTCGGGTGGTGGCGGGATGCGCGCCTCGGTTCCGCCGCGCGTCACCTGCCGCGCTTTCGATTCCTATGATGGGCAGTCAGTGGAGCAGTGGGTATTGCACGCGATCTTGCCTCCAGTAGGACGCTTCGACCCTATAACAAGCCCGCTGTATGAGAAGACGCAGAAGCCGTTGCTCATGCTATTCGTGGATACATCCCGGCCGGAGTTGCCCGCCTTGTTGCAGTTGCTGCAAGCTGCCCACGAGCGGTATAACGCAGATAATCTTAGGGTAATATTTCTTTATATAAACGGTGTGGCATTCTTGCATAGGATGACGTCGCTGGGCTTGACTGCGGACCCGAAGCGACTGCCGGCGCTCGCTTTCAATTTCGTCACCGCGCAGCTCCTCACATGGCAGCCTCCAGCGGAGCAGTATGCCGACGGGTCTGCCAGGCTCACGGCGGATGTCCTGAATTCTTTGGTGCAGCGGTACCTCTCTGGCAGTAACGAGCGCGCTTCAGAGGCTGATGCCCCGAAGGCTGTCCCTGTGCCGAAGAGGAAGCCCGGGACTAAGCGAGACGTTCCGAGTTTAGATACTCTATCCCTCCAGCAGAGGCTGCGATTCGTGACCGCGGTGAACGGCGAGGGCTTCTCGGAGGTAGTCTTGGATTCCTCCAGGGACGTCGCTGTCTTCTTCTTCGCCTCCAGCGGCAAGGCCGCCGAGGCGTCGGAAAAGGTTGCGATCTACGTCAACCGCTGCGCTGAGCGCTTCGAGGAGCTCAAGGTTCGCACGATCCGCGTCGTGCGATTCGACATGTCTCTGTTCGCGGCGCCGCCTTCGGTGCAGGTCTCTGAGGTGCCGAGCATGGTCTTTTTCCCTGCTTTCTCGAAGGAGCCGCCGTACCAGGTCTTCCGCGGGAAGTGGAAGGTGCAGCAGCTCATGTGGTGGATCCAGGACCGGGCCAGCTTGGGGTTCAGCTTGCCGGAGCTGCCGCACCTCGACGAGCAGGAGGCCGCGCTGTACTGGGAGCAGAAGGAGGGCCTGGACGAGGTTCGGCAGCGCAGGGTCGCCAGCGAGAACGAAGGCAGCAAGCGCCAGCGGCTCGAGCTGTGACTGGCGGCGCGGGCTGGCGGGTGGGCTCCACGTGCGCGTGGGTGACCAACAGTGCCAGCCAGGTTTGCGCGCCGGTGTCGAACATATAGTACGCATGCGTGTTCGTGGCTGCTTGTGGATATTCCCGCATGATTGCACCGTCGGGCAGGAACTTGAAGGGAAGCAGGCGGCGGACAACGACCAGTTGATCCTTCCCCTCCTCCCTTCCCGAAAGGAGGAACACACTCAGAGGAGGGGGGAGGAGAGAGGATGGGAGTCGGTTTCGAAGGAACTCTCATAGTACAGTCTCGCTTTTCGGATAGACCGGTCACGATGCTTGACGGGGACTCCACCACGAGGTTTCCTCTGCTCCGCCTCCCCTCCTCTCTCTCTTTCTCGTCATCCAAGGTGTGCGAATGTGATCGCGTGTTGCTCTTTCCATGTGCGGCGCGCGAATTCGGACGATCCAGACCATGGCGCGTTTTCTCTGTCGGTCGTGCTCTGGGCTCTGGCGGGATCGATCCGACACCGCTGGCGCCGCGCCCCTGCCCCCCCTTCGAGTGGGCCAGCCCGCGTGGCCAGTGCCGCCACGGGTAGTGCCGCCACCAGTGGAGCGTGGCCGCATCCGCGATGATTCAATCAGTTCATCTGGCTGCGTAGCCCGAGTCCTTCAAGTTGCGCGAGGAGTGTGGGGGGGATTTCTTGAGGGTGTAAAGGTAGGCTGGCCTTCGCGCGGGGTGGCATCGGGGGGCAACCAGGAGTAGTCGGCCTCCTGGAGCTCTTGAGCGTCGGCCTATCACCATTCTGATGCGGACCACAGGGATTCCATGGGCTCCTGCTTATAAGCATAAGCGTTCGGGGGTCCGCGCAGATCTCTTTGATCTGTGCTGGATCCTCGTGGCGGCGGGCGTGGCCACTGGCGCGCTCTGAGTGCCAGGGGAGCCAGCACCGGCCCAACAGAAATTTCGCGCAGGCCTCCGGAAGCTCCTATTCATGGCGTTTCTTCTCCCTCGATCCCGACTCCCCTCCCCCAAGCCTTCCTCGCCGACCGTTCTTCGTGGCAGAGGGGTGCAGGGTCGTGATGACCCCGCCGCCGCTGCTGGGCGGCTTCGCCGCTGGAGGGCCGTCGCCGCCTCCGGGCAGCCTCAGGCCGTGGAGGGTGAGGGGAAGGAAGAGGGAGAGCGCATGAGGAGGAGGATGAGGAGGAGGAGGAGGAGGAGGAGGAGGGAATGGGAATGGGACTGGGATTGAGTTTGGGCGGCCGGGGCCGCCTGCCGCCGCGGCGGCTCAGACCGAGTATTCGTACTCGGCGTGCTTGCCCAGGGACTCCCCAGCCACCTGGGCCTCAAACTCCTCCGAGAACGCGACGACGGACCCGCGTTGAACGCCTCGTCCACGATGGCCTTGACGCCCAGACCAGCACGACGCATGGCCCCAAGGACCATCTCCCAGTCGTGCCCGCCGATCCCTTTTGCCTTCATGAGCTGGTCCGGGAAGCGCAGCTTCTCCTCGTAGTCGTCGTCGACGCCCTCCTGAGGATCACCTTCGGCGACTCGTGGAGCTGCCCCCGCAGCATCTCCAGGAGGGCCGCCCTCACGACATCCTCCTCCAGCGTCTCGTGGAGCTTCTCCCGCAGAATCACCATGAAGATCGGCCCCTAGACGATCTTCACCAGCGAGTCGCAGAGCCAGGCGGGCAGTCCGCGCCGCGACCTCCTGCGAGTAGGCCTCCTGGTTGGCCTCGATCACGGCCTTCGGCTCGTGGACGGTGTTCTCGACGGATTCGGCCTTCGGCACCTCCACAATCATCACTTGACCCTGGATCTTCACAAAATCCTGGGACAGTATCTCGACCTTCGGCACGCGCACGGTGGTCACGACGGACTCGGGCTTTCGGCACCTCCACGATCTTTCCGGCACCGTGGATCTTATCGACATTTTGCGACACGGTGTAGCTCTTGGTCTCCAGGTTCTCCAGCCCGCCTTCCGTGACGTCCTCGCCGGCGACCGCGCCGTTGTCCAACAGTTGCTCCCCGAAGTTAAAGCCGACCTGCAGCCCGCCCTCCGTGAGGCTGTTGCCGACGACCGCGGCCTCGTCCAGCACCTGCTCCCCGAAGTTCGAGCCGAACTCGCACTTGTCGCCGAACTCGGCCGTGGGCGCATCGCTGTAGGCCTCGCCCTCCTGCATCACGTACTTACCATCGGCCACTTCACGTGATTCTCGGTCTCGTTGGCCTCGTCTTTCCGCGCGCGGATGGTGTGCCCGACGGACTCGGCCTTCGGCATCTCCACGACCTTCCCGGCATCCTGGATCTATTCGATCTCCTTGGACACCATCTTCGGCACCGTGACGTTGTTCTCGACATTCTCGTTTGCGATCTGCCACGCGTGGAAGATCGTCTCGACGTACACTACCGTCGGCACATCCACTGTTTTCTCGACCACCAGCTTGGGAAGATGGGGGTCGCGGCGAGCGAGCCGCCGCTCACGACCTCCACACCCTTCGCACCTCGACGCCGCTCTCGACGTGCTGCGCCACCGCGTCGTCCTGCTCGTCCACGTCCACCTCCAGGAGGGCAGGCAGGTCCCCGATGAAAAACGAGCCCGTGCGGCTGCCCGACAGCTCGTGCTCGGCAGCGGTGCGCTGCCAAGTCTGTTCGGCGGTCGCCCGAGCCCCGCTGCTGCCCCCGTCCTCCGCCTCCCCAGCAAAGAAGCGAGCAACCAGCACCTCCGCGATAAAGTAGGAGCGCGCCTCAATCTCGACGTCGCCGCGGCGGGCGACGAGGAGCGGCTGCGCGCTCGCCATTCCACCTCGCCAGACCATGGCTTGCCGCCACGAACCGCTCTGAAGAGCGCGGCGGCAAAACGCAGGCGCTCGGGGGCGCAGCCCGGGCCCAGAACGGCTAGGAAGAGGAGGAGAATGAGGAGCTTGCGGCGGAGGCGCAGGCGGTGGCGGAGGCTAGACTCGACCCCAAAGGGTCTTGCACACGAATTCGACCCTCGGGACCTCCCAAGCCTCCCAGACTCAGCCCCAGCACGGCATGGCCGCGCCAGGGGCAACGCTTGAGAGGTCAAGGGGGTCCTCGGGGCCCGAAACACCACGGGGCCTACGGGCCTGGGCCTCCGCCCTGGCCTCCAGAGCTCTGAACCCCAACGGCTGGGCATCGGCCAGCTGAAGCCCGAAAGAAGGCAGGACTTCCAGGACGCTGGGACTCTTAGGGCCAGCCGTCGGGGCACCCGTTTGGGCCACCGCTGGAGGCTCGGGGGGAAAATGCCCAGACCAAAATTCGATCTCGGACTCTAAGGGCGACCGCAAGCTCCCAAGAAGCCTGTTCCCTTTGGGGTGCTTCAAGTGCTTCAAAGCGGAGTTATTATTCTTGGCACTGGGGATCGGGCCTCCTGGACATTTATCCTGGAGGCCTCGTCACCGTTTATCAGATACATACCCTCGGCACGTTGTACACAAGAGGGGGCTGCCGCTGCGCCGCTGGGCCGATCGTGCCTTTTCATCGACGAAAATGGGCGCCGCGAGCAAAGTGTGCCCGCCGACGCGCCAAGGCTGCAGCCCAGCGGGCACGACATCGGGCTCCGTCGGCGTGCTCCCCACAGTCGCATGGGAGCTGGCCGCGGCCTCAACGTCGGCACCCTCCACTTCATCCTCGAACTTAGCTGGCCACTGCGGCCACTCTCCAATGTCAATCAGCCTCAGTGCCACCACGCCCCGAGTCGAGCATGTTGGCACGCGAAATGTGCACCTCGTGCGCGGCGGCGAACCGCGCCGCCTGGCGAGCCAGCGTCTGGCAGCCCTCGACAGCGTGGCCGTCATCGAGGTTCACCCTGGCCGCCGCCGCGCCCTGCTTGGGTCGCCCGTCGGCGCGAGCATTGCTGTCCAACTCGAACTGCGAGACGAGGCCGTCTGCGACGGCCTTGGGGCCCAAGTGGGCCTTGATCTTGATGACCGTCACGTCCTGCAGCTGCTCGGCCTGGCCCGCCCACTGGTTCGCTCGCTGGCTGCTGGCGGCGGCCGCCGCCAACGGGTTGGCCGCGCAGCGCACTGTGGCCATGCAGTCCACGTAGAGCCTGTAGCTGCCCCCTGCCACCTGAACCGTGAGGACTTTCACGGCGTAGTCCTCGCGGTCCCTGGCCAGCTGCTCGGGGGCCCCCGCAATCGGAACCGCCCCCCGCGCCTCTGCCGCCAGCCTGCAGGCCGCATCAAAGACCACCACGGACCAGCCCGCGGCGCGCAGTCGCGGGTAGGCCTGGTCGAGGCCCGAGCCGTCCACAAAGACGTGGTGCCCGTGGAGGTGGGGCCCCAGCGTGCACCAGCCCGTCGAACTCTCGAAGTGGTCCGTTGCTGGCCGATCAGGCCTGTCCAGGTCGACACACGTGGTCTTGTCTAGATTGCCTCCTGAGGAGAGACCCCTTGAGAAGGCAAGCTCTGAAATGCCACCCTCACCTCCACACAGCTCCAACATATCCACGCAATTGTTGTTGCCATAGCATAGAGTAGCCACTATGCTGTATATGTCAGCGCGTGCGTCGGGCATAGATGTGGGGGGGATAAGGAACAGGTCATCTTCCCCGTCAGAGCTAATCAGCTCGACAGGGACGTCAGTGCTCCAGGTCGCCATAAGATCCTGTCCGAGTCCTGACAAGTCAGGGAAAAGGCCCCTGGCGAACAGGTCGGTGAAAAGGACAGCCCACCGTCCCTGGCCAGCTGCTCGGGGGCTTCCGCAGTCGGAACCGCTCCCCGCGCTTCTGCCGCCAGCCTGCAGGCCGCATCAAAGACCACCACGGACCAGCCCGCGGCGCGCAGTCGCGGGTAGGCCTGGTCGAGGCCCGAGCCGTCCACAAAGACGTGGTGCCCGTGGAGGTGGAGCCCCAGCGTGCACCAGCCCGTCGAACTCTCGAAGTGGTCCGTTGCTGGCCGATCAGGCCTGTCCATCAATTCCGATGCGTCAGGGAAAAGGCCCCTGGCGAACAGGTCGGTGAAAAGGACAGCCCAGGCTCTCAACTCGATCCGCGGCTCCGCGCAGCGGCTCCTCCAAGTAGTCACGCCTCCAGGCCCCGTGAGCCTCGCAACGAAAGCGCTTGTGGAAGAGCGAGCCGTCCTGGAACCCGCAGAGCTGGCAATTGGACGGCGCCGCGCGCGAGCTGTCAGCCGCTGCGACCCTGGCCTGGAACCAGTAGGTGTTCTGGATGAGGCTGCGCAGCGCCCGCTGGTGGTGCTGGTCCCAAACCCCAGACCGATGACTGGCAAGATCCAGGACCGGTTGCCAGAAGGGCTGGATGCTCCAGCCCCACATGCTGGGGCCCTGCCTGGCCACCCCCTCCAGCCCAATGGCGACGCGGCAATGCTGCTCCACCAGGCTGCCAAAGAAGGCAGGAGAACGCCTCCTGGCGTCGTAGGCGGCCCCCGTGATGTCATGGACCAGGTAGGGGTCGCCTTGCATGAAGCCCCAGCCGACGCGCTCCAAGGTGAGGACCAGCGCGCTGGTGGGGTCCTTGACCTGCCGCCAGGGATGCCGTTGCTGGGCGAGCGCCAGGCCCCTGGCAGGGCAGGAGCGGGCTGCCGCCCCAGGCAGCAGCGATAGGCCATGAGCGCAGTCCTGTCGACGATGGTCAGCGGGCCCCGCTTCCAGCCATTCGCTTGGGCCAGGCTGGCCAGCCCCAAGGCGGCCCCGCGGGGCAAGCGCCCTCTCGCCTTGATCGCCCCGACGCGCAGCTGGCGCAGCCAGCCGTTTGCGACGCCCATGATGGCCGAACCCCAGGTGGCCTTGGCCGTGGGGCCTGCACGGTAGACCCTCGCACGGCCCAGGCCAGGACGGAACAGATTAGTGAGCTTCTTGCCCTGAGCTCGCGCCTGCTGCTCTCGTGTGGCCGCGGTCGTGACGCGGCGGTAGGGCCCTGAGATCCCGTCTCCGCCGAGGTCCTTGTGCATGTCCACGAAGTCGTCGGGCCCGAGGTCCCAGCCAGGTCGCCGCATCAGCGCGTGGCGCAGCTCCTTGCTTGTGGCGAGAGCCTTGGTCTTGTGCCTGCTCAGCGGCAGGTTAGCCTCTCGCACCTTCTCGTAGAAGGCCCTGTAGGTGGCTCCCAGCTGCTGGGCCACCATGGAGCGGGGCCCTGTGGCGTGGGCCGACGCGTCGTCCA